ACTTGGGCGACCTATACGACGAGCTTCGCCGGGATCGATGGCCGCAGGATTTGAGACCACAGGTTCTACATGACAGGCACTTCGTAGTTTTGTTGGCCGCCAGGCCATGGTCGATTGGCTTGAATTTTATATTTATACAAGGTCGCCTCGAGCACTGGATACCAATATGACCCGACTATACATAAATATATAGATATGCATAGATATATGCAGAGGTACATGTATACATATATGTATATGTATAGTTGCACATATATATATATATACATATTTACTTCATCTTTATACCAAACTACAAACCAAGCAACTTTCCGTCTCATCGGGCCATGCTCACCACGGGGCCGAAGGCTTGGGAGCAGTGGGCCACAGTCGTTGGCGCCAAGGCGCTGCCCTTGACCAAAAGATTCCACCGAGAGAAAAGCAGGAACGCAGAGCCGTTATGGGCGGGCAGTGTGGATGTCGCATGCCCTTACGTTGTGGTCTTCGTGGGTGGGGAAGTGGAGACCATTAGATCGCGTCGTGGCCCCGCCAAAGAAGTGCGCCCTGCGCAAGGTGTGGAAAGACTTAAACTTTTTGCCTTCTAGCTCGGCTCGACCATTGACGCGTGGCGTTGCAGCTGCGAGTGGCCCCCCTTCGGTCCTAGCGACCAAGCTAGAGGAATTGGCCCAGTCGGCCGACGCTCGGTTGGCGCTAGCGCGGGAGGCGGGTGCTTCCAGCCATCCGATTTTTTTAGATGTGCCCATGGGCCAGGCCTCCAAGGCTAGCGAGACGAACCGACGCGCTCTATTGATTCGGGCGTTGGCCATGCATTGCGTTGAACAGCGTAGGGGCAAGTTGTTGGAGGCGCTAGGGGCAACTATTCAACTGCGCCGAAGGGCGTCAATCGCGCTGGCGGATTCTCGCGGCGACGCTTCTGCCAAGGCCCTCGTGTCCTCCATGCGTGGAAGAGGCCGAGGTGCGAAGAACGTGTGATGCGAACTGGCCCTCAATAACGGGTGCCGATTTTTGTGATGTGCATTCTTTCTTGTATAGAGTGGTGGGAATCCTCTTCGTTCTTCAGCTCGTGCCGCTTCGTTGGCCAGCAGCGAGCAGCAGCGCCCGTATTCCAGCCGCGAGCAGATTTGAATTAGTGTTTGCGTGCGTCGGGCGTGTACATATGCACACCCACTTGATACAGGGGCGCCCCCCCGCAGAGCAGGAATATAATTAGAAATATGTGTGCAGCGTGCAGGTTGAATTGCATCCATGCATGTACAGGTACATATACATATACATATACATATATACATATAATAGGGGCGCCCCCCCCCTCAGATGCCGCCAAGTCCTTGAAACACCGCGCGTTTTTTTGTTTTCTCCAGCTCACTGG